GAAACCTGGGAGCACTGGACAGCTGTTTCGTCCTAGTATGGGACTCCTCAGCAGTGCGCACCCACGACCCCACCAGCAGGGATCGAACCCGCGACCTTCAGGTTGCGCGACCAGTGCATTACCATTGAGCCACTGGGTCAGAATCCAATGCTCCATATTTCCAACTTCTGTTAGCTCACGATATAGCGCGAACCGCCACCTAATGTCATCGTTGAGTATTTGTCCTCATGGCCATCTTCGATGAATAACAACTTGAAATATTTCCAAATCTCCACAACCCCCTCAAAATTTAATTGAACTAGTGCTCGTTGGTGACTAGCTTCGAGAAGTATTCCCGAAGTTCCAATGACAAGTCGTGACCGGTGGAGTCAAAGCCTGATGGCCGTGAGGACAAATACTCAACGATGACATTGGGTGGCGGTTTGCGCTATATCGTGAGCTAACAGAAGTTGGAAATATGGAGCATTGGATTCTGACCCAGTGGCTCAATGGTGACGCGCTGGCCGCAGAGCCTGAAGGTCGCAGGTTCGATCCCTGTGGGGTGCAGGGTCGTGGGTGCGCACTGCTGAGGAGTCCCATACTAGGACGAAACAGCTGTCCAATGCTCCCAGGTTTCCTTTGTTCCTCCAACTGATGTCAGTCTTCAATGAATAACAACTTGAAATATTTCCAAATCTCCACAACCCCCTCAAAATTTAATTTGACAATTGTCAGCTTGTAATGACTTTCTCAACAGTTCAATCACATCTGGTTACACTAATCCTTTAACAGTTTCTTACATGCATTAAGAAGGCACCTAGAAGTGATGAAGTAAATCAGTTTGAGGAATATGGTTCAAAAACTAAAAGATGATATATTATTGACTCATAACATTTGAAATATTTCAGGCTAACCACTTCATCATTTGCCTGAGTGTTAGACAGAACACTTAGAAGCTGTAAACTTTAGACAGTAGAATGGATATATTAGGTGTGAATTTTACTTCATAAAAGTTGTTATGTCTTGGAATGTTCCTACCCTAAAAGATTTTCAGGCTGTTTCATCATTATTATTTATCCCTTGAATTCCTATTGGAACATAGGACTTCAATAGCACGTCTTCATTACACTCTCTTCTCTGGCCTGACGTGTGATATCCCCAGCAGGCCTTCTCAGTGAATGTTGAATCCATCTCCACTTTCTTCCAGTGAATATTTGTTGAGTGATAGATTCTTGCTTCGTTGGTTCGTTCCCAGCGTGAATTCTTTGTTGCTTATTCTTATTATTCTGGCTACCTGAGCTTCAGTAACGAGCCAGCGTAGGTGACAGTTGTTGATGATTCCTTCAAATACAAACCCGATACTTACTTAAAGTTTCATTGCAATCCTATAGCCTAATTTATTATAAATCTGATTTCTCCTAGTATTTCTGAACAGCTAGATTTTCCCACACAAGGACTAGTAATCCAGTGTTTCTAAGTGTAGAAGCTGATTTGTCAGAAGTTTCTTCTGTTACTCTATCTAACATTTGATAAATAATCGCATAAACAGTGGTTGGAGACCCTAGGTGATATGGCTGAGAACCGATATCAGTGGCGCAGATGTATACACACATTATCCTCATCTTAACAACGCTATACCGAATCTCACCATTTTGTCACTCCTCTTTCCTTTCTTCTCATACTTTATATTTCTTTTGACTGCATTCTCTTATCTTTATCCTTCACCTCACTACTTTTCTACTTGATGAACTGACGTGAGGTGTGGCAACTCGGACCGTTACGCAGTAATGCCTGGTCCTACGTTGATAAAGATTGATTGATTTGATCGTCCGGGGGCAATCGGTGGAATGTCCTGCTTGACATGCATTTCGTACTTGTTGGTACTCATCAACAGTGCGTGTCTAGAACCTACGAAGAACTGATGTTCTCTGAGAGACTTGGAACCATGGTGTCCAGTTATGTAGTCAGAGGTGTTACCACCAGATTATTAGGGCGATAATTGATCTCTTGTATGCCCGAATTAGATACTATGATGGTCACTAAAGAGTAATCAATCTCATATTTTTCAATCCTCTCCGAAAATAGGAGTACACTAACTACTACTACTACTACTACTACTACTACTACTACTACTACTACTACTACTACTACTACTACTACTACTACTACTTCTACTACTACTACTACTACTACTACTACTACTACCACACTACTATTACTACTACTCACACTACTACTACTACTACTCACACTACTATTACTACTACTCACACTACTATTACTACTACTCACACTACTATTACTACTACTCACACTACTACTACTACTACTCACACTACTATTACTACTACTCACACTACTATTACTACTACTCACACTACTATTACTACTACCCACACCACTACTACTACCACTACTACTGCTACTACTATTACTCACACTACTACTACTAATGGTATTGTCACTTTGGCAATGAAAAATCTCGACTATTAATTATTCTCCGTATTGATTTATGAAGCCAATAAACAATTTATTATGATTCAACTGGGTAAAGGGTGTAGTAAATTGTGTTATTTTCGACTAATTTGTTTACAAGTGGTCATCGACTTGTCATTTCTATTGACCAGTAGATTCCGCTATATTGATTCGACAACATTTTTATTGTTATGGTATTAGTACAAACATCCTTACTGAGTGAAGATATTAAAGCTTAGAAGATCTTAGACATTAATTTATTATTTATTATATTATTTATTTGTTCCTTGGGTTCCTATTGGAACATAGGACTTCAATAGCACGTCTCCATTACACTCTCTTCGCTGCTATCTTTCAAACATGGCTCCACCAATACCCACAAGCTCTCATTTCTTCCTCACACCATCCCCTACATGTCACCACCACCTGGGACACCCAAATTGCCGTTTCCCATCTACCTTCCACTCAAGGGCCTGGCCTGACGTGTGATGTCCCCACTCGGCCTTCTCAGTGTATGCCCAGTCCATCTCCACTTCCTTTCAGTGCATATTTGTTGAGTGATAGATTCTTGCTTCGTTGGTTCATCCCCAGCGTGAAGTCCTTCTTGCTTATTCCTATCATTCTGGCCATCTGATCTCCATCTTAAGTATCGAGTGAGAGTAGACAGTTGTTGATCAATGTCTGTAGTTTGTTGGGAATCACTTTCGAAACGCGCCAACTCTCTCAACCATCACATAGAAGCACTGACTTACTTGACTGAATTGGTGTTGAGAATCCGGATATTGTTCATGCTTTATGCTGAGTGCAGTGCAGTGGAGTGGAGTGCAGAAGATCTCCACACTGATTTCAGGTTAATGAACGCCTGTCTTGCTGTCTTTCCAATCCTGGCTGGCGTTGATGTCCTCGTCTGTGCCTATGCTGCCTGTAGTTGAAACAGTGCTACCTAAATAGATGAAAGAGACAACTTCCTTTAAGTTTCTCCCACTAATGGTGAATGGAGTTTGTTGTTGTTGTTGTTGGTTGGGTATCTTCATCACCTCTGTCTCCTCTACGTTCACTTGAAGGAAGTGCTATGTTCGCTGCCCTGCCCTGCCCTGCCCTGCCTCTTCTGTCAACTTGTTAGTTTTCGCCTGTACATCTTCGAGTTTGTGAGACAAGATATTAGACATAAATCATCATTGGCGAAATCCAAATCTTCTAGGATCTTTTCCCTGGTCCAACGTATCTCCCTCTTCTCGCTCCTCACGGTTTGTTGCATCATCCAGTCCAGTCGACGACAATCAGGAAGATTATGGGTGATAGCAGGCAGCCTTTTCTTACCCATATCTTCATTTCAAAGCTGTCACTGAGCTTCGTATTGTGAATTACTTGGCATGTGGCGTTTTCATATAGTTGTTGAATGAGGTTGATAAAGGTTTGTGGTACTCCGTAGTGTTGAAGCAACTTCCAAATTACTTGTCGGTCGACGCTGTCGAAGGCCTAGATATTAATTACTTCAGTAAAAAATCCAACTTCATGATAAAGTGATATCGACAGACCGAAAGCAGAATATCCAACAGCTGTTTTTTCCTAGTTTCAGCCTCGTCAGCAGCATAAATTTTACTCTAATAGCTATAGGAACATAGATGCAGCTCTATCGACGATGGTACTAGCCTCGATTTCAACGATTTTCCATGTAGTAGTATTGAATAGAATTTTTTTTAATAATATCCGAATGGTATATTTTACTCATTATGTAATCAAATCTAACGGTATTCTATAGACCCAACACTCGTCTTCTAATAAATCAGAAAAGTTTATGTTGCTTACGAGCTAATCGGTAACATTATTGTAGAGCTTGGTCATTTCAAGAGCTTTCGACTGACGCCATATTCATTTATGTGTGACTTGTAGTTGCGCAATGATTGCATATAATTTCCTACTGCTATACTGGATCGAATTGCTTGACTTCTGTTGGCAGATAAACTTGTATGCATATGCCTTGATACTGTTTAGTGAGTAGTAATGGAATTCAGGACACGTATTTCGTCCTGTTTGAGACTCACTCATCAGCTGAATATACCTGTCGAATGATGTTGTTACCACCGGGGTTCGAACTCGGGACCGATAACTTCAAACGCCGAAAGGTAATCCACTAAGCCCCTAAGGTAGGAGAGCCACCTCTTACATCCAACTGATAAGTTCCAAATAGGGCAAAAAATGCACTTTCTGGATTCCACTGCTAGCCACCAAGTGTAAATGATTAATGGGGGACGGGGGGGGGACAGGAGGGGGTTGACTCATAGTGTATATGTGATCTGAGTATAGGAGACTATGCTAATATATACGAGATCAATCATGTGAAAAGCGAGAGTTTAGACTGAATCAGAAGAATCGTGTGTTGAAGACAATTACATTCATGCAAAGTTATACTGAATTGGAGATTTAGTTAACTATAATTGAGTAGGCTTTTTCCTCTAAAAAATATTCTCAAGTGTTAAAACAAACCTTAGAAAATATTAAATGAATACAAACAACACATTGTTGATTTCATCATATCAACTCACCCCATCCAAATAATGCATATGGCCAAAATTTCATTTTATCCACCCAGAATGCACAATAAACAATTAAGCATAAATATAATCCTTCAATAAACATCCAGACAAATATTGCCAATGCACCAAATGCTTGTAATGATACTGTAATATTTAATAAACTCTAAATAAGAGAGAAAAAAAAATCGATTATTGATCATTTAAATGAAACATAAAGAGATAAGTTTTATTATTTGTATAACATCGTTGTTGATTGGACCGAATTGATCAGTCACTGTTGGCATATGGGCTCCTATGTGGATGCCTCGATATTGCCTGTCTTTTTAACTATGTATAGTAATGATGGGCAGTGGCTAGCAGTGGAATGTAGGATGCGCATTTCGTCCTATTTGGAACTCATCAGCTGGATGTACCTACCTGTCAATGAGTGATGTTGTTCCCACCGGGATTGACACTCGGGACCGATCGCTTCGAACGCCAAAGCGTTATGAACTACACCATCGAGCCATTCGCATAGGAGCCCATATGACAACAGGGACTGATAAATTCGGTCCAATCAACGACGGTATGATATAAAAACAATCATACATTAAAAACTATACCCGTCGCACAAGAAGTGGGTTATCGTGGCTCGGTGGTGTAGTGGATAACGCGCTGGCGTTTGAAGCGATCGCTTCCGAGTATGAAAAACATCAATCATTGAGAGGCAGGTATATCCAGCTGACGAGTTCCAAGTAGGATGAAATGCGCATCCTGCATTCCACTGCTAGCCACGATTCATCACTAATCTTTATGTATGTGTAACAAAACCCTTCCATAATATGTCAAAATCGATTTTGTACCCATTTTCAATGACATGCATTGCTATGCTAACCTCTTTTCTAAACTTTTTATATTCCACTTCATTTTTTTCCTGGGTGTTTATTGCATAATCTATATTCATTCATTTTAACTTCCAGGTGTCTACAACTTTCACCAATATCCCAGCCAACATTTACTTTGGGTGCTCTTTAGAACTTTCGGGTGTCACTCGAAGCTACTTCGGGCACACTTAGCAACTTTTAGGTATTCCCCCTTAAATTTCAGAAATATTTTACTTGACCGTTAACATTTTATTGACTTCTACATCACAGATTAGGCCTTCTCACCACTTGGGATATGGGTTATTACAAATCTTTGGAAGCACTACAGACAATTTGGATACTTTGGGCATATTGCAGAAGCTTGGGGAGCATTTCGTGACTTTTGATACTTTCGGAGAAAAGGTTTAGAATATTCAGGGGATATTCTGTGTCGCCCGATATACGCCCGGAGTAAAATTTTCGGGTTTTAAACTGTAACTCACAATGCCCATCCGAAGCTAATGCTGACTGGGTAAGTTGGCTTCATATTACGTACATTTTATCTTATACACACAGTTGTTTTGTATCATCTTTGCGATGATATCTTTCACTTTGACTAATGTTTTTTTTCCCTAAGAATTTGTAGGTTTAAAATATTACCTTAATATGATACTTTACACAAACTCTTTACTTTTGTTCTGAAGTACTTTTCGTGTGTGGAATTGTCATTGTTGATGTCTATGACTTCTTCTCTCTCTTACTTTTCTTTTTTCTATTTCTTTCTTGTGTTATTCTCTTAGAGAAATTTCATTTTCTGTATTCGTTCTATTTAATAGGTTCAAAGCTACTATGATTTCAATGTTCATTGAATGGTCAGATTGAAAATTTAGATATATATCACAATGTGTAGATTTTCTGTTAATTTTAAATTCTCGATCAAAGATGTTCTTTGAATAAGACGATAGTCTAGGAAGTTGAACATTCCTGCACTCGATTAGGTTTCATTAGTAAATTTTATGACAATGAAAAGTATTTAATCCTCTTTCTTCGAATGCTTTCATATATAAATTAGGTATAATCATCAAGGATACCCCAGAATCGGAAAGACAGCAAGACAGGCATTCATTAACCTGAAACCAGTGTGAAGATCTTCAGCACTGCACTTCACTCAGCATAAAGCGTGAACAATATCCCAGTTTTCAGCACTAAGTCACTCAAGTAAATCACTGCTCCCATATGATGATACTTGAGACATTTGGCACTTCACGAAAAGCATTTCAAACAAATTACAGACATACATTATCAAGAGCTACCACCTTCACTCACTCCATACTGAAGATGAGATGAGATGAGATGAGAAGGTGAGAAAGAATAAGGAAGGAGGAAGTGTGGTCTAACAATGAACGAACCAAGGAAGAAGTAAGAAGCTATTGTCGAACAAGGGATTGGAGATGGATTGGATTGGATATACAGTGAGAAGACGATTTGTGAATATCACACATCAGTCAAGGCCCTTGAGTAGAATCCGAAGGGGTAACGACGAGTTGGTTATCTGAGGTTGATGTGGGGGATATGTTGTGAGGAAGAAATGAAAGGTGATGGGTAGTGGTGGAGTCAGGTTGAGTGGAGTGGATAGGAGAGAGTGAGATATTGATGTGCTACTGAAGCTCTATGTTCCACTAGGAACCCTAGGGTCAAATAATAATAATAATAATAATAATAATAATAAATCAGTGTCATTAAAGTAGGAAAATCAAGTTCATTTACAAATATTGACTCATTGAATATAAACCAATTTTTGTTTGAATAATTGATTACATTAATAATGGTTAAGTAGATGATTGAATTAAAGGTGAGATACAAGAGGTGACCAGCAGCAATGTATCCTTAATATATTGTTTCATCTTAATAGGATATTGAGTATATGAAGTTGACCTTTTAGAACAGAATAACTGCTGGTGAACAAACATATTCATCTTTCAATATTCAATCAATTACTAAATATCACCAATGTACACATAATAGGCTATAAGTGATTTTTAATGCTTTACTGATTATTGATTATATATATCAGTAAAAAATTGCTGAGAAATCTAGAAAAGAAAATGATTCTATTATAATGTGAGATAAACAGAGAGAGAGAGAGAGAGGAGTTTACTAATTTTAAGGACTAACCATTCTAAACACCTTCTCTTCATAAGATAGGTAGTATCAGCATTCCACTACTCTTCATCTAAGGTGAATATCTTATTCCTATCCTTCATTGTACAGCCATCAATTCCACTTTACTTTCCAACCTCATCATAGAGTAGCTATGTACACTATAAACGGTAACTGATTTTCATCTCAACACTCTCTAACAAATCTTTCATGTATTGTAAAGTTTCAAGGAACAAATATTCCTATTAGCATACTTCATTATATCATTGAGATATGGAAGCTACATCAACACATCAAGGTAGCAACTATCGGTTGGATATGCGTCTTAAATAGAAAGGAAAAACACAAGTAAAAATGGATAATGTGAAAATTCTAGTGAAACAGTAATAATTCTAGTCAAGCAAACAAAAGAAACATCTAGAAAGTGTGTACAAGGTAAGTGGAATATGAGAAGAGAGAAATACTTTCACAACGGAGATGTCCCTATGAACTGATATCATCTAGAGGATTAATGAAAATCTGGAAGTATTCGACTGCTTACTACTTTGGAACCTGTGAACTGTATGTACCCTCAACCTTATATTGGATCAGTCTCAATGTAATCAGGTTCTATACTGGATAGATTTACCTTCAACCACATGGCCGGAATCCAATAGCTTGACATTGCCCAAATTTTGTCAGTTCATGGTGTAAGTTAAATGTCATTGGAGTTCGATTTTGAGGTTTATGGGGGTGTTATTAATTACAGGTTGGTATTCATTCAACAGTAGATATATGACGACGTCATATGCTAAGTGATTCCCAATGGAAGGCTCAATGATGTGTTTGAAGTGAAGACAGGAGTAAGACAAAGTTGCTGACTACTATAACCCACGAACTGCCTGGTTGTTGTCGACTGGACTGTATCATGCAACAGACAACTGTGAAGAACGAGAAGATGAGAATACCCTGTCTGATCGATGAAAAGACCACAGAAGATTTGCATTTCGCCAATTATGATCTATGTCTAAAGTCTCACGTAGCATAAACTCGAAGATGTACAGGTGAAAACTAACAAGTTGATAGAAGAGGCAGTGAAGCGAACAAGGTACTTCCTTCAGGCAGATGTAGAGGAGACAGAGGTGATGAAGATACACAATCACAATCACCACCAATAACAACAGGCAGTATTAATCACCCTGAAAGACAGAAATGGAAAGGAGGCATACACAACCAATAGTTGCTACCTTGATGTGTTGATGGGGCTTCCATATCTTAATGATATAACGAATTATGCTGATGTGAACATTTTTTCCTTGAAGCTTCACAATACAGGAGAGATTTGTTAGAATGTCTCCATGAAGTGATATCAACCAGAGCATCAACTTACTAAATATAGTGATGAAGGTACTAGATAGTGCATAGGAATCAGAAGTATTGACGTCAGAATGATCTACTTTTCTGATCATCCTAGTCTCAAAAAAAGGAGAGAAGTTTCCCCGTGACAACCATAGGCGAATTGATTTGACGCATATTGTGTCTTACATTCTAGAATCCATAATACTCAGACGCATAACCGAAGCTCGAGAACAGCAAAGTCAAGAGAACAAGGCAGGACTCAGACCTGAGAGATGTTGTATCAACCAGATTTTCCCTATTCATCAGCCTATAGGACACGAACATACTTACCGTAGGCAGACACTTGTTATAGTTTTTGAAGGTGATATTCAACCCTGTTGACTGTGAGGTGTTGTGGCATATGTTTGAGTTTGAAGAGGGTATTAAGCAAGTGCTCAATGTTAATGAAAGCTCTGTAAGGACTTGTGAAGAGTTGTCATGCAAAGTAACAACAACTTGTGGCATTTACCAGGAACTTTCGCTGTCACCATTTTTTCTGGTTAGCTTCATTATAAACGTGGTAATGGGTATACATAATCTTGGGAAAGTCCACTTTTTCAAGGTTTGATCTACTCCCTGGAGGTCATCTGGTTGACTTGAAGCGTCCAGATGATATTTTCCTGTTAGGCTAGGAAGCTGAGAAAACGCAGGGTCTTTTGAATACATTGAGCAGAAATCTACGTATGTTTGGCATGTGTTTCAAATATGTCATATGCAAGATGATGCTTTAGATTTGGTCTATAGCTACTCATAGTTTAATGATAAGGAGTGAAATGGTGCAATG